GAATAACTCATTCACTGCCACAGAAACCCATGAACTTTCACAAGAACACAATTGAAGAAAACAAAGTCCTAGATGCTAAGGAGTCCCAGAATTTCAATTCCAACGGCAATGTCTCACAGTTAACAAGTGCCGCCTTAAGAACAGGATCTATCTTATGTGTAAGGCAGGACAAGAATTTTCGTGAAAAGGAGAATTAAACGATCAGAGAGACATCTACCTCGGTTTGATTATTTAATGCAGCAATATGGAAGACTGTGTTACCATCTTCATCCTTCCAGTCCAAGATTTCCTCCCTGTTTTCTCTCTTGAGCCATCCCAATAGAACCTTAAATACTTCAATCTGGTGGTTCTTCACAGCAACGTGCACAGCCATCTCACACTTTATCGTCAAATCCTCTACAGAAGAAGGACAAGCAAACAAGAACTCACTCAACAACTCTGCATCACCTATACGAGCCACATGATGCAAAGGAGTTATCCTTCCTCTTCCTTTGATGCTGACTAAGCTGCTATCAATGGCTATAAACCTTCTCACCATGCGAGTATGGTTGTTTTGCAGAGCTAAATGCATTGGGCTGAAACCTGATGTGTTTAGCTTCAGAGCAAGCGACGGCTTAAGAGTCATTAACTCCATGGCAAAATGAGTTTGCCCTTTCTCGGCTGCAATGTGGAGTGGCGTCTCACAAAAAGGCACTTCATCAAAGTGTCCTAGAATGTTTGGATCTTCTGCAATCAACTCGTAGAGTCTTTCGATATCCCCATCTTGAGCCGCCTTCTTCAATCTCTCATAGATATTCTCATCTTGAGTCATAGTACTCAAACTCTCACTAACATTTCCATCTTGAGCTATCAGATCCGATAATCTATTGACCTCTTCTACGTCCACAACAATCGACATAGCTTCACTAGTCATAGAAGGCTTCTGCCTTCTTGGACCCTGCAACACAGACTTAAGTACAAAACACAAAGTCTCCTGTCAACTACCTTGCACATAAAGGATCTTGCTTGTCCTAATTCAGACCACTTATATTCCATATATCTAACAGGTCAACTAATAAGTACATATCCCAGTGGCTATCTCTTTCTTGCAATAATATTAGAACTAGACGGATTAATATGGCCTATAAAAATGAGTGCTCGCAATTTAGCTTATCGTAAAAAGTTAATCTTTTCCTGTCATGTTAGCAAATTAGCATTCCACAAATGGTAGACCTTTTGTCCCTCTGATGTCAACTCTAAGTACAATAGCATTGACACTAAAAGTATTAAGAGTAGGGAACTGACTACTACAATAAGAGTTAAGAATGCAATTAGCCTATTATCAATAGTCTTACAAAATACGGGAAAAATATAAGGGAAACAAAGAGAAATTGAACAACAAACATTTTATTATTTTTGAAAATATAGACTAAAAAGTCAAAATGCGTTGAAAGCAACAAATAAAAGTCACCAAAACTCGAGAGAGCCAATAACAGGGGATGGCTCTTTGATTCTCGTTTCTTAGTGTTCAGGCCCACATATGAATTATGAACAGCCAACTTTTGTGTTCATAC